GGGGGGGGGAGAGGCACCCCAGAACATGGCGGTGCGGATTTGGCACCCCAAAACATGCAGTGTGGGCCTGGCCCTGGGCTTTGGCGTTACACCCAAAGGCGAGCGAGGGTCGGGGTTTAAAACCAACCTGACTGTGCAGCCCCCTGGTTTGCTGTGTAAAGTTGAGCGGGACAGGACCGCGAATGTGAACAATTTGGTTTACCTTAGTAGTTTTTAGGCTTATTTAAGCTATGAGGGAGTCCACTGAGTTTGTGGATCTGCTGTTCCTGGGCTGATGGGGAAAGGAGCCCGGAGCAGCGTGGACAGATCACATCCCGCTTGATTTTGTATTTACTGTCATTGCTGCACGTGTAGCAAGAGCAGGCAGTATATAGGAGGTCTGGTACATTCCCCCGGTAATCAGTTTTAAAAAATTGCCCGCACTGGCATGGTGCTTCTGTAAATTGATTAGCTTTGCTGTCAGATTAGCTGGGACTTCTTGCAGAGAACTTGCAACCCAGCAGAAATGAAGAATTTCAGCGCTGCAGTTAATGATTGACCAGGTTAGGTGACTCAAAAGCAAAGTACTGTCATGGCAAGTTACTCGCCAGTGCCCACAGGTAGTGAACTGCCTCGCTTTTAGCTGGATAATGTAATCCAGTTAACACAAGCTAAGTAACCGCTGCTAAACAGACTGATTTCATTTATTTAATTTAACTAACTTTAAGGTTGACTTGTCTGCATCGGCCCTGCTTGACCAGAGGAGCAGGATGGGGCTGGGGGAGAACAATGGCTGCAGGGCCATCTTTGTTTAAAGACAGGTATTCTTGTGGGTCTGCCCCACTGGAGGAGGTCGTGGGTTTCTGGAGGAGCCTTTTGGCTCTATGTGATGTTTCACTAACCCGCTGCAGAAAATCCAGATCTGTTTCACGTGGCGAATGCTGCTGCGTGTACCCCACTTGAAATGTTTTAAATGTCTAAATACCGAACCCGTGTGAAACATTGACAGCCTGCTTGGCGAGCACCTCTGCGGCTTCTGTCCTCTGGGGCCACCCAGGACAGACACACTTGTGGCAGGTGCTTTATCGAGCAGGGAAATATGCAGGAAGAAATATTGAAATCACTAAAATTAATCATATGAGTTTAGTTAAATACATGCCTAAATGTTGGTGGAACCACCATGGAAAAGGCAGAACTGGAGAAGATCCAAATGTACTGGTAATAAAAGCGGTCTGTGCTGCTTTTTTGTTGTCTCTTTTTTTAATTATATCTTTGTTCATGTTTCTTAAAATATATGTAGCAGGCACATAAAGTGTCATCGGATGGATATTCTGTTTTCGTCTACAGGATCAGAGTTTCCAGTGCTGTCAGAAAGCAGCGTTTGAAGCAAGTTTAAGGCTCATTGAGGCTCTTGGCCTGTTTGTGATGCTCAGGTGGCCCCAGCCAGCCGGGGTTAGCTGTGGGTGCCGGGACGGCTGATGGGAGAGCAGCGGTCCAAGGGAATTCGGTGAAATTAGGCAGAGGGAAAAGTTGTTTTTATGAAGACATCGTATTGAAATCCTGTGGCATGTGGGTTTTCCAAGGGATCACATATGACTTCTGTTCCCGTTCCTCCATGTCCCCTTTATGCAATATTTCAGCATGGTTTCTGTTCTCGTGCCTTTCCGTAGCTATGCTACAGGCTCAGGATTTGACAGAGACCCTAAGAGAAAAGGCTTGTAACAAAATGAAAGCATTTGTTTTCCCCTGGGTGTGTAGAGCAGCCTGTTTCCTGACTGCAAAGGGGCAGGTGCTGCTGGGGCAGCCTCTGTCAGGATTAAACTTCCCTGGCTTTCCTTCTTGTCTCGCTCAAATCCTCCTCCTAACATTGCTTCCCACTGAGGCTGATGCCTGTGCCAGCCAGTCGGTCGGTGAAGGAGAGTCTTATCCTGCTCTCCATCTTTCAGGAGAACGCGTCTTACCACCCTCCTCTCATTTTTTGCCGACTGGCACTTTCTGCTGGGAACATTGTGTATGCCAATTTTGTGCAGCGTGTAGCATGGGGCAGCCCGGATCGTAGCTGAGGCCTCCAGGTATGGCCAAAACAAACATTAATAACAACAACTAGATAATTACTGTCGGAGATCAGATCATTTCTTTAAAAACCAGGACATATTCAATAATACCTGCATTGCGGTTCCCCAGATGCTTTTGACATACTGGTTTTTTTCTCTTAGGTTTTTAAACTTTATTTTCTGTGGGGTTGCAGGCTGTTATTTAATAAGTTTTGTCACTGCGTTGCTGAAACCTACCGTATGGAGGCAACATAATCTGCGATTTAACTTATAGCAATGTCAGAAATATGCTGATGAAACAACAGTAAAACTCTGTCCTTGGGCTAAATGTAAGATATTACAGGCTTTCTCTTGAAATATTAGAAATGTCTGTGGGCTTCTCTGCAGCTCCGTGCATGAGGCTTGTTTCCTAGAGAGTGTGCTGGGAACGTGATGGTTGTTTTTAGCACGTGTGGGCTCTGAGGAGTTTCATATCAATAAGCAATGGAGAAGCGGTGGGAGGGGGGGGGGGGGGGGGGGACAGCAGAAGGGAGTATGGAAAAGTGCCAGGAGGGAAGAAAACTCAAAACATTTTCCTGAGGTCATTCAATGTAAGTGGTTAAGAATAATCATTTTCCTTGGGTAAAGTCAAGTAGCCTTATTTATCTGCCTATTAGGTTGGTAATTGTTCTAGCTCACACCATTTAAAATCTTTATTGACTCATTATTCTATTGCCAGTTGGTCATTAATATTTGTGTCTGTGTCATAGTACAGCTGGGTGGTTTCAAGCACATGGATTAAAGCTAAAAGCAGCTCTTTTTTTAATTGGTTCTTTTTTGTATCAATTAAAAAGTCATAATTGCAGATAGCTAGGAACTTTATAACTAATCAAATTGATATGATCTTTTGCTAAAAGGGATGTCCAAAGTCTTTGAGTGCATATATATGTCCAATAGGAGTCTTAAATACCATTTTGATAATTCATACTACAGATATGGACTCTCATAATATGACAGCTGACCTGTTCTCTTCAGACTGTCTTGCTACATCATCTCCCACACCATTACAGCAATTAACTTTGTGTAACAACATACAGTACACACCAATAAAAATAATAAGTAAACATTTTCATTTGCGGTTGGTTTCATATGACTGAATCTATTTCAACTCCTTAAAACTATATTTGCTGCATTATTTTTCTTGTTTTCAGCCAAATTCTGCAATGCAGTTATTTGAGTTAGCATTTGAGAGAGTAGCAATGTAATTTCTCTCAGCAGAATTTGGTCTGTTTTATATTTATGATGGCTGCAGGGGGGTGGTTCTCTCTTGTTTGTTTGCTTTTAGCTAGTACAGTCAAATGGAGCAGAAAAATGACCAAAGAAGCTGATGGATACTGAAACGTCCTGACCAAGATGACATTCAGTAACACACTCCCCAGTGCCATAGAGACCCTCCTGAGGAAAGCATCAGTAGTCACTATTCAAGTTGGTATACCTTGTGATGAAACACTAAGCATTACAACTGGAAATGTTTTATTTATTGCTAATGTACCTGCATCTTTGATAAATTTTACCTGTGAAATATCTTAGGATTCAGTATGCACTGAAAGCAAATTGGTGAATCGGAGGCTGAAAGGATGAACCACAGAAGTATTTGTTGTACAGAGCAGACCTTCTGCGCTCAAGTAATGATAAGGTGAATCCGGATCCTTCTTGTTACTCGGCTGGACTGTGGCAGACAGGCACCCATATGCCTAAGGGCATTGGTACCTCTGGTTTAACCCAGAAGCCAGGGTGCCAGGAAGGTCATTAAATCCACCCGGGGACTGTTATTGTTAACTTTAGGTGGGTATATTGGAGTCGGGGATGACTAGAAAATCCAAAAACAACTTGGTAAGATAATGTGGCCCTTTAAAACTTTTAACCCACAACATTTCTTGATTGTTTAGTTTACTGTGGCATACGTTTGTTGTTGTTTTAAAAAAATCCCTATACCAGAGTTAAATAAAACACATCTCTTCCGAGTGTGTGTGGTTAACTGGCAGACGCCGTGGAGCAGATCAGAAAGCCCATGGACAAGATCAGAAAGCCCATCGGTGACTTAAAGGCTTCTTCTGGAGCCAGCCTTAACAGTGCCTCTGTACTGTGCTGTTATTGTCTTAATTGATTTACACAGCATTGACATGAGGTGAGCTATTCACTTTTTATCTTACAAATAGCAGGGAGCTGGTCTCTTACAAGGCAGAAGGTGGTTAAACATCCATAAAAGATGCTCAGCCTGTGCTCTGTTATTTGCATTTACAGCTGTGTGCTGATAGCATGTCCATTAGCATATCCATATGAAAAGCACACAGTAGTTGGACATTTACAACATCCTGTTGTTTGGCCAGTATAGTGCATCTGTTAGCACAACTTTCTACAGAGTCCTTTAAAAGAGCAACGGAAATCTGGGGAGCAGGGAGGCTGTGGAGCAGCTGGACAGTCGTGTTAAAATAAAATACCTGGAGAGTCTAACAAGGCGAAGATTGCGAGGAGAACAAGCGGAACTGGAACCGTAAAGCAATTCAGCGTGCGGGGTTTTGGGTGGGACCGTTGTGAGTTTACAAAGAGCCATCTGAAAGTGTGTGCGCGACAAGGAGTAGGAAATCTTTGTTGTCACAGAAGATAACTGGCGCATGGCTTAGCACAGTCTGTGCAGATGTTCAAAGTTTCAAGGCTTGCTATGCCTTCAGGACATGTGATAGCAAAGGAGTTGTTCCTCCTAGAAAGAAACTTTCAAATAAACTATACAAACTCTTGTGTAAATATCTGTTCATTTGTCTTTGCGCTTAACTCTCTTTGCACTTTTTACCCATGGATCCCAAAGAAGGGTAGGTGTCACCTGCCCTTTCTGAAGCAGCAGAGACACAAAAAGATGAAGCAGTTCTGTATTGTCATGTTGCTGTTCACTGGCAGAGCCAGAATGAGATCCAGGAATTGATCCTCAGTGGGTGCAGAGTTGTCACAGCTCCACTCTAGTCTGTAACATTAGCCATGGCCTCGGTTTTCTGAGAGCAGTGGACCTTCCTAACTTGTATTTGCTTTCCTAATCAGCAATGTTCATTTTTTTTTTAAAAAGATCTGTGTCCCTGAAGTTGTGGGTACTCCAAGTGCTGTCTACACAAATTGCATGAGTAAGTGCTTACACTTTAGGAATTTAAACATCATTAACCTCTCGGGTCTTGAACTACTTACTGTCCATCAGCACGATTATGTGCCATACAAATATTTACCAATAAAGAATACTGGAAGATAGTACAGTGATACCTACTACCTAACAGTACTTGTTCGTCCACTGGTTTGTATAAATACTGATTAATCCCTGAAGTGGATGAGCAGCACTTTACCTTGTTCTGTGCTTTAGAACTTGAGACTTGTCTCGGTTTACCACTGCGGTAGTAATTTTTTTTCCCCCATCATCTTTCATGTTTGGTGAATTCATTCTGGAATCTTAGAATCGAGCCTGATTCTTTGCATATCCTCAGCAGTATCGCCATTCAGATTCCGTGCTGACTTTGCAGGAATTTGCGCTGGAATTATTTGTCAATTGCTTCCAGATTAAAATCACAGTAACTTTGTTGGAACGCAGCTTGGTCTTTGAGCTATGGTACTTTCTAAAGTAAGTAAGCAGAGCACGTGAGAGTGAATTCTTTCTCTATAAAATAGGCTAAATGAAACCTTTTGGCAATTTACTTTCTTTTTCTGAGAAACAGAATTCATTATTTACAAACAGGTGCTGTTTGTATACAAAGAATTTGACCGTGACAAAGATAACTTGGTTTTGACTGAAATTTTAATGGAATAATTAGTAGCTTCAGAGGCAAGCAACTGCTTTTAGCACAGAATGAAAGCTGTTGGATTATGATTCATTATATTGTCCATAAAATGTTTTGCTTAATGCAAATAAATATATTCCAAACCTGTTCATGCTAACTGAATTCCCAAAGTTCAGATTTTTTTTCTTGACAGCTCCAAAATGGAGACTTACCAAGTATTTAAAGTCTACCAGAGTTTACTTTTGTTACAAAATACACCCATACGTTTGAATCATACTCGGTATTGTGTTGCTGCGCTACAACAATCAGCCAGCCACTACAAGACGAGGTGAGAAGCTCTGATTCAGTTCCTGCAGTGTAGTTAAAGTCTGGGACTGCTAGATGTAATACTTTAAGCTAATTTGGTAATCTGCAGCGATTAAATGCATCTTGTTACTGAACGTAATGGACCAGAAAGATTTTTCTTATATTCTGCTTTGTGCTTCCTTTCTGCAGATTCACTTTAAAAGCATGTATTATTTTTATTAAATACTTAAGTCTAGATTTCACTGTTGTGGCATATTGTTGTCTACAAATCTGCAGACAAATTTGTTGTCTACCCTTCTGTTCAGGCAGGTGGAATATGATTTGTGGTATCAGGTAATTTGTTCAGTAATTCCGGTATCCAGCTGTATTCAGTGGTCAGGGAGAGGCAGCCTTTGTAGAGAATTCAGGACAAGGTAGACTTTGTCTTTGTTTTGATGTACAACTTTCAGTATTTATTTCTACCTCTGAAAAATTCCGAATTATTGAAATACCTAAATAATGGCATTGGTAGGTTTTTAAAGTTTACTTTGAACTAGAATTTAGTGATTTTTCAGTTCTTGCTGTCAAACGGTGTCTCAAAGTGGTGTTTCCAGAGTCTTTAGTTTTATAATGGTAACCTTTCTTATTTCACCCTTGCCCACCCTTAAATAACATTGGCCTCTTTTCTTGTGACTCTTTCATATATGCCTATTAATCTGCCTTCATTCCTGTTCAAAGGTAATGCCCTCCTATTTTTTAATCTCTTTTGTAATCTCTCCTTTGGATTCCCTCCAAATTACCTACTTCTATAGAGAGAGAGAGGTGAGCCATATGGGACTGGAGAGGAAATTGTGCTCGTGAGGTAGCAGATGTAGAGATGAGTTTCAGACACAAGAGTGCAAGGGGGAGTGGGGCCAAAAAGTGCCGTACGTAAGGATTTGTCAGGCCAGCCTTGCTATATGGAGCAGAAAGCTGGACCACCAGAGAATGGGAGTTTTAATGAGCTTGGCTGTACTCAGGACCAATGACAGGACATCAGTGAATGAAAACACCAGGAGATCAGGGGACAAAAGTAGCATCAGAGATGCGACAGCAAGATTTAAGCAGTTTGGACATACTGTGAGGATGGAAGAAATCAGAGGAACGGAAAGGTTTGGACACCGGGATAGAGAAGGAACAACCAGAAAGCAAGCCAAGGTCTCTGTATCACAGGAGCATGCGTGGGGTTTCAACCACACTCCTCTGATCTCATCGCACCCGCCGAGTAAAACACTGGGAAGTTCAGTGTTTTTGTGGAATTGGGAGAGGCTTGTGCTGTAAAAACCGGCCAAATGAACTAAGGATAGACAAAGGCTTTACAGCTGGCCTCCTTCAGACTTTTGAAATCATGATTTTGCTTGGTGTTATTTCAGAAGCTGAAATTAAAGATGAAAAATGCTGCTGAAATAGCCACTAAATAGCATGAATGCAGATTTCGCGGAGAAAGTATAATACACTATCACCACAAATACACTTTTTAAGCAGAGGACACATAAAGCAGAGTGAACGTACTGCCCCCACACAGGCATTTCCACAGCTGGACCCCAGAAGGGGTTATCGCTTTCAGCCAGCGCTGAGCCGGAAAACCCTTCTGGATCCTCTTCTCAGGTGTGCGTCTTGCTCTGGCAGGCGGAGGCTCTCCTAGGAAAAGCCTGCAAGACCAGGCTCGGGATTTGCATTAATTGATAAATGTAACGTAATCTGACACTTCAAGATGTACCCTGTTCATCACAGGGGCTAGAAGAGGGTTTTTGCCTTCTGTGTAGAGCAGTGTGTGACTTGCTAGGTGAATTACTCCCCAGCAGTGGCAGAGCCAGCCAGGAAGGCTTTTGTGGGCGATGAAAAAACATCCCATCGCCTGCTAGTCAGCAGTGTCTGAAGGCACAGAAGATTTTGATACCTCCTTTTGTCCTGATCATTCACCATTTTGTGGTCTGGATGAGATTTTACCCACCGTTATGCAGGCTGTTGAGGACTAGTACTGATCTCTTGTTGCAAAACCCATTTTAATTTGTCATTTTGAGTGTGTTTTTTAGATGCTGGCTAAAACCACATCATGCGCCATGGTTCTCCATCAGCCAGGCAGGCTAAAGAAGTGGTATAAATTTCTGCTCTTTTCAAACTCTTTTGTATTGACCTTGAAACCAGGCAGGTCATTTCTACTTTTGACCATTATGCTCAGTTTCTTCTTGGCTCGGTTTCATCTCCTCTTGACAGGAGATGTTCTACCTGTAGCACCAGCACCCTGTCCCTTGCAGAGGGCAATAAGTGAATGTTAGCCCTGCCCAGGTGGGAGGACAGCATTGCTGCACAAGTCCTCATTTTACTGTATTGTTTAGTTGCAGGTAGATAACTCTCTGGTACTGTTATTTCCCCATGTTTCAGAGATGGTATTAGAGTGCTGGCAAGTTTACGCTGAAGCACACTGGTATTCGTCCACTGATGCAAAAGAGTCAAATAGCATAAGTGCTTAGTACACTTTCTTTTCTTTTAAATAAAAAAAAAAAAACACTGAAAAACCAAAAGCAGGATAAAAAGCCACTTCTGGAAGTCTCATAACCAGCGCTCTTCCAAACCCCTTTGAAGTTGACACTGGGCAGTCGCCAAGCTCAGGATTGTTGCCTCTTCCAGGGTTTTGCTTTCTGTCCCCCTGCCCATCTGCACAGGACCTGCTGGCTGCAGGCAGGACTTTCCTTCTGCTCCCGTGTTAGGAAAAGCCTTCATTGCAAAAGAGTGTGGTCAAAGTCTGAAGTTTAGCCTTATACTGTGTCCTTAATTGTTTCTGCCATGTGCAGGACAGTGTGAATTTAAGGAGTGATGGCTTCCAGCCTAGATCCCGAGGCCATTTCTTTTCTTACCGGTGTCGCAACCTTTACATCATCTAAAAGAACACAAAAGTTTTTGTTTTATATGCCCAAAGGCTGCCCGTAAAGGTTGGCAAGGGCAGTTGGTTAAGTCTGCACAAGGTCAGTCAGGATGTCTAATAATTGTCCTAACACTTTACCTGTTATAGAACAATAATGAGAGTTTTTTCATTATTTTCGGGTGAGTGAACCTGGCAGATGCTGACAGCCAGCAGATGTGTAAAGTTCGAGGTGATTTGTAAGGGACCGGCTCATCTGACGCACGGTAATTGCATTGTGGGACATTGTCACTCAGCGTCGTGTCCTGCTCCAGCAGAACGAGGTAAAGGTCAGTTCAAAGAGCTGGCGTAGCGTGAGGGGCAGCTCAGGGCTGAAATTAAAAACCTCATTTCTATCTCTCCCATATATGTGTGCTCACGGCATGCCCAGATCGGGTGGGTGCCCCGGTTCTACATTTAGGGATTGTTTGGGCGACTGAGTGCTTCTTTCGGTCTGGAGTGGGTTTAAATGCCCCCTCTGGTAAGGCTTAGAAAAAGTCTCCTTACGCACCTGTTGGTGTGTTAGTTTGGTGCTCATCTGTCTGCAGATGTTTCTTCTGGAAACATCTTCTTCTGGAAGTTTCTTCTGTGACTTGTTCCTTTGCTTGTGTTCCTTGCCTGTGTGCCATGGCAGCTCCCCGGGCAGCCAGTGCTGGCAGGAGAGCCTGTGCGGCGCACAGGAGGGGTGCAGTTGGACTTTTCGACGGCTCCCTGCTGCCCTACACGGTCTGCCGTCCCCTCTGAGAGGGGCTCCGAGAAGTTTCTTTTGGTGCAGAGATGCTTTTAGCTGAGTTTGCCATTTGTGACACCCCGAAAGGTCAGAAGCTGCTCTCCCTTCATGCCTAGCTCCCCGCACGTAGGTGAAGTTCAAGTTCCCCCCATTCCTGCCCGTGGGCATTAGGAGTGGTGTAAGCAGTCGTGTTGGAAATGGAGCGGATTTGTCTGACGGTGAGCCTGCTGATGGACCTGAACGGGGAGCGAGAGGTGGCCTCCAGATGTCCGCAGCTACCCGGCCCATGCAGAGTCCCCGCAGCGTGCAGCACAGTGCTGCCTGTCTGTGTACTTGGCTTGTGCTCTAATCAGGATCGATTTCTGGTGCTTCTGGAATCTGACTGGGATCTTTATCACAGCCACAATGTATGAAAGTCAGCTGAAGCCCTGATTGACTGGGTTTCCTGGGTGTGCCTGCGCTTCTGTAATATAGATGCTGGTAAATCTGTTAATACACTGGAGATCTTGATAAAATCGTGTGGTGTATTTAATCTGCTGTTGCCTCATTCTTCTGTGCTTGCAGGTACCTAATCCCTTGCTCTTTATCTTATAAGGCATCACATTACAAATTTTGTTCTTTATTCTTCTCCTAACATCCTCACACTTGCTGGAACTAGAAATTGCAGTAACTTGCTCTGCACGTGCTTCTTAAAATGTGAACACTGGTGGCTGGGTCAGCTCAATAGTTCAAGGTTTCCCATTAAGCTGGCCAGCTTAGCAGCAGTGCCCCCAGTGCAGTATTGACTCGCTGTGCAAAGCATCTTGCCTCCGTCAGACAGAGATCTTCAAGCCGTCTCTTTTAGTTCCTCCCTATGCCAAACCTGACCGTGAAAACTGAAGGAGAGTTTTGCTGTAAACACGAGTGGAGCCAGGATTTTCCCCCGTGGAGAACTGTTGTTAAAAGCTCCCACTGATTATTTAAGCTCCAAGTTAACAGTTGTTTGCCGATGCGTGCTGGTCCACAGGCTCCGCTCACGGTCCCCGTGCTGGGCATCGGGGGATGGATTCGTCCTGGTGTGTGTATAATCATGCACGTACCAGTGAGTGTGACTGTATCGTACAAGGATTTGGCGGAGAGCTAGCAGAGGGTCTTTTTAGAGATGCTAACTTTGAAGGAAAAGGCTTTTCATTGAAAAGGTATTTTTGTAGAAATAAGTCTTCTCTGGAGTTCTTGATGATTTTTATTTTGTTTAGTGTTCCAGGATATTTTTGAGAGTCCTTTTCATGTTTCACCCGAGGACTCCCATTTTCTGCCCAGCTTGGCCTAACTCTTTGTAGACCTCACCTGATACTACGCATTTACTGAGCTTGTTTGTTGAGGTGGTAATTGCTGGTGGCCACGAAGGCATGAAGCAGTCCAGGATGTGTCCAGACTGCTTCTGCTTTGGCCATGCCTTTCAGAAGTGTAGCTCTGTTTTTCGTCTAAAATTCTGAGAAGTGAAATTTGTAGTATGGAAAAACTGAATCTCTGCTTTCACCAAGCTGACCTGTGAGGGCACATTTGTTTGTGCAAGTAGACGGTTAGTGTTGTTCCTGGATTCATGTTGTTGACCTTTAGGAAGAGAAAGAATAGATTCTTATTCAACAAATGTCTGCTTCCAGGCAGTCATGAATCATGGGATTTTTTTCCTAAGAGTATGCAGATAGGCTTTGCATTTAGAATAAGATTTTTTTAACCATGGCACACTCTATTAAAGTTTGTTATGTATCCAAATTACACTGCTTTGCTTTTTAACTACAGCTGAAACCGTGTTTCGAATAACAGATGTGGAATACTGTCATCCCACTGTCACACCAATTGTTCATTGTTCTGAGAAGGTCACATCATAATTCATTAACAATAATTATTCCCTGGGTACACCCTGCACTTCTTCACTCAATTGCTTCATTAACTTGTGAGTGAATCTCACATTCACTGCTCCAATCAATGAAGATATATTTATAATGTACAAGTGGATGCTATTAGTTACAATATATTAACTGCCTAATTTAAAATAGAAAAGCTATCTTTATGAAGGGCAATTAACCACTAAGTGTAATTGATAATTCACATACCTATGATTAGGAAAGACAAATAATAAGAAAGAAATGAATCACCTGCGTTATTGAAGAAGACACTGGCGTGCAGTTTTAATGAGCGAAAGGGGCTCTCTGGGTCAGGACCAGATTTCTAAGAATCCTTTGATGGAAAGTGCGTCATTGGATGCATTACCTCGAGGTGGTTTCGGTGTTTACACCAACCGATTGGGATCATCTTCCCTAGAAAAGGAACCCACCATGTTTTGTTGTCTTGAGAATCAATGCAGGGGCTTTCCTAATAGAAAAGTCCTTTTTCATCCTAACACAAAGAAAAGTAATAATGTTTTAATAAGAATTTATAAGCCTAGCCCCTAACTTACCTAGGTGTCTAAACCCATATTAGCTCAGGTCCTCAAAGATGATGAGGTACAAATTCACACTAAAACTGACAAAAGTTTGGCATTTTAATGTATTTGAGGAGGTGACTGGGAGTCCCTTTGGCAAATATTTGAAAAAAAATTGTGATAGGTTTTCAATGCTTCTGATTTTCCATGGCCACTTTGAAATATGTTGGTTCTCCAAAAGGCTGACAACTCATCCTTGGAGAAGAGGCCTTTTCATGACATCCCCAGTAGGTCACCGCAGCTTGGGTCAGGAAACAAAGTCGCTCAGAGGCAGAGGACTTGCACGAGATTGCAGAGTACAGCTCCACAGAAACCATGTCCTTGGCTCTGGGCACTTGAGGCCCTGTTTTCTTCCCTTGAGAAGCCATTTACCTGTAAACATTTATTAATGAATCTGTTGAAGTACCTTATTTTTCAGGATTACCCACCAAGTAACAGCACAGGTGTTTTACGAGAGATTAAATGAGAAATGTAACGGAAGCCACCCCAGTGTTGATATAAGCATCGTTGCAACTAGCTGGCCTCTTAGCTGGAGTCTGCAGAAGTGCAAAGCCTTTCTGTTACCTCCAGCAGATCACTGCAGCAGGTGATCAGTAAGTGGAACGGTGAAAATCCAAGTTAAAATGCTAACAGCCAGGGGTATCACACCGAGTACTGTACTCATGGCTGTGCAGTGCCTTCAGTTCATGTGTGTCTACATCCATGGACTGGTTGAAAGAAAAGGAACTGTATTTGGGGGTTTTTGGTGTGTGGAGGGAGTGTGTGCCTGACAGACTGTGGTATCCTGGAGATGGGGGGCATCGCCTGTGCTGCCATGTTCAGCTTAGCTCTCTGCTTCAGAAGGACAGTTACATGCTATGGCAAGGGCCCTGCACGTGAAAGCTGCAGCTGTAGTGCCCAGAATCAATATATTTTAGGTATGTCTTGGTCACGGTAGGGGATCCTGCTCCTGTTCTGGCATTTCCTCTTTGCATTTTTATTGTAATTATCCAAGTTAGGTGTGGGACAGCAAAGCTGATACTCTTAGCTCCTTTTCTATGTCTGGTTAACCCCTCTGCTGCTTTTACTCAACAGGATCAAAGCATCTGGTCTGAAGCTGCGGTTCTGCACTAACGAAACCCAAGCGACCAGGGAGAAGTTCGTGAAGAAGCTCCAGGGCATGGGTTTTGACATCTCCATGGCCGAAGTCACTGCCCCAGCACCAGCAGCCTGCCGCATTTTGAAGGAGCGCAGCCTGAGGCCGCACTTGCTTGTGCACAACGGTAGGACAATGCTGCAGCAGACGCTGGGACATGTAGGGGGACACCCCAGAAAGATGTGGGCATTTGCGACAGAGCAGTGAATTCCCATAGCTCGTGGTGGGAAGAGCTCCCAGCTGTTTTTTTCCTACAGGGAAAACCTTTTTCCTTAGTCATGAGACTCTGGAATAAACCTTAGTGGTCTGGCATGAGCGAGGTCTCAATTATGGCAGTGGTACAGTGAAGGCACAGAGTTGGGCTGGGGGTCAGCAAGTGCACAGAGGAGTCTCCTGCTTAACCACAGAGACTAGGAGATAGGTGAGGTCTTGTGCAGGGCATTACATTGTTTTTATTATCATGGCAGAGGTTTTAAGTTTAAAGTGTTGTCTTCTGTAGAGTGTGGGTATGGAGAAAGGAGGTGGATCCTGCCCTTGCTATTATACATTTTCATTCAACTAACCAGGAGTTTGCCTCAGGTCTAGGTGCCTGGATGTAACGAGCTGAGATATAACAGACATGGGTGGTGGGAGCTAAGGCAAGGGTAGGAAATGGTTTATTTTGCTCTTTGTTGTAGGACATATGAATAGCAGGATCTGGGCAGGAATAGAAAGGGTTTGAAGAACAGTTGATTCAGACTTGGATTTTTTTTTTTTAACGTGTTGGGGAATGAATGAAGCGAAACACAAATCTGGGGAAAACCATCAGTTCTGATGGGATCTGAAATGGTAAGGGATTTGTGTATTTTTTTTTTTCCTCCTTCTGTAGATCTTGTCCCTGAATTTGCTGAGATTGATAAAGCAAACCCAAACTGCGTAGTTATCGGAGACGCAGCAGAAAACTTCACCTATGCAAACCTTAATGAAGCTTTCCGAGTTCTGATTGGGATGGAGAAGCCTGTTTTGATCTCCCTTGGAAGAGGGTGAGTTAGGCACTGTTTGTTTCTTCCTCTAGTCTCTATATTTTTTAATTTCCCCCAGTATCTTTGTACTTAATCGAGGCCAGATATCAGTGTGGGCATTCACACTACCAACTTTTAAGCAGTTAACCTATGTGTCTGGACTGGGAGGCTGATCTGCTCAGGTATCTGTTAATGAAGGATCCTCAGTGGGTAATTCAGTCATCTAACTTGGCCTCCTGTCCTGAGTCACTTACTTGTAGTCTTTCCAGGGGTGTAAGGGAAAACTGAGGCGATTACGCGGAAATAGGTCTCTAAAAGAAGGTGGTATGGATGCTCCTGATGAGCCCCAGTTCAGGGGGCTGATGCAGATTTAAAAAGGGCACTGGCTGTCACTGAATGTGCCATGCTGAATCCTCCAGTTGACTTTGAAAATGCTCATCAGTAGGGTCTCTGTGCTGCTCTAGCACTGGGTGAGGCATCTCGAATTTCAGCTGTTGGTGGTCTTTTTTCTGTAGACAGGGCAGAGTAAGCAGTTGCGTGGATGTGTTTCATCGAGTGCTAGAGGGTGAGAGATACTACTGCTCCTCTGAGGAAGAATTGTAGCAGCTTTTAGAGAACCTGGAGACACTCTGGTGTATAAGCACAGCAAATGCCAGCCTCCAGCCCTTCGAAGTCAGCGTTCAAGAGTGAGATAGACCTTGATGAAACAATCTACGTTTGCAAGTGGCAGTGGGAGGGTTAAATAGCTGTAGTTTTGTAAGCCACTAGGAAAAGGACTTCTGTTGCTTTAAGAGCAAGTCTGAGAGCCTCTTAAAAACCCCATAGAAATCATGGAGAGTTTGGATTTTGATGTGTGCATCCCCCAGGTCGGGGGGGGACGCACGTTGCAAGAGGCCAGTAGGATTATAGGCACTGTTTATCTTTTTGTCTTTGCCCCTGCAAGATCTCAGAGATGAGAACTGTTGGTTTAACTGCTGCCTGTAGCCATGTGTTCCTGTCTGAACTGAAAATAAATTATTCTTAATAGTGGAAGAAACAAACAAAACAATCCAACAGGCCATGCTTGGATAAAGGGCTGTTGGTGTGGATTTGTGATGCAGTTTGGTCTTTCGGCATCCTGAGGTTACTAATGGTGAGGAGGATCAGGTGGTACAAAAATTCTCTGTTTCAGCCAACAGTCAGCCAGGTTTCTTCTTCCAGGTTCGAATCCTGCCCACATTTGTAGTGGTTGAGATGTGATACTGGGTGTGGCTGATGGCCTGTGTGATGTAAATGACTCCTTGCTTTTTGAGTGGTACTTAAAGATCCCATCTCTGAAAGCTGGCGTTAGCATCTCTACCGGTTGATTCACATGTGTGAAAATGTCGTACATAAGGGAGCACTTTCATGCTGGTGGCTTCAGAATTGCTATACATGAGGAATAAGAAGCCAAGAGAGTTTTTAGTTGCTGATATAGAAACCCTATCATTTTATGAAAGTAGCTGCAATGCACAAACTCCACCCGAACTATGTTGGGGATGGGGGTAGATGTTCCTCTGGCTGTGAGCAAAGAGTGGTGGCCAAGAAGACCTAAGGGGAGAGCCCAAGGATATACTGAGAAATGGTTGGGCTGGTGTGTGTATGACGAAGACCTGCAAAAGCACCTGTGCTTTTGACCTGCCAGATCAATTGTTTTGATAGTTTGAATATACAAAGATATTTTTAATTATTCTCTGAACATTAAAGGTAAATTTTAACCTCCTGTTTTCACATGCAGGAAAAATCCTGCCAGGGAATTTGAATGTTTCCTAAAAAAAAATTCAGTTAGATGTATTCTGAAATTTTAAACAGGAGGTTATTAATGCCAGCGCTGAATAATGACAAATCCCAATGGCCTTGAAGGAGTTACTCTTATCTGTTGTGCGATGTATGGGCTTAAAAAAGAATATGCATGTTTAGCTTGAGGAAACTGTAGTGACAACTTTTTTCAGTGGTTCAATAGACCGTAATGGGCATGAAAACCCTTCTTAGTTTGTGGGTTATTGATCCAGACGGGTAGAACTTATCAGCGGGAAGGAGCAGTTAAATCCATTGTGTTGCTGTACCTGACACTCACGCTCTGATCCTACAACACGGGCAAAAAATCCTTACTGTTTCTCAGTTAGAAGGATAAGGAGAAAATGTTGAGCCAACAGCAGAATGGCTAATGTACATAAAATAACCAAGTTTTGTGTTATGTAATACCATCTTTCAAAATGAAATATAGAATCAACCTTTGTTTAAGATTTGCGACGTGATCAATGCAAAAATGCCTTTGAACCCTGTGCATATAAAAGAATATATTTATTTGGTCATTCATTGATGTAGACAGCTCTAAAACAGCTGTTATAGCTGTTATATAAATAACCTGCTGTTATTTTTTTTGAAATGTTATTTTTCATTTAAAAATACAGATTTTTGGATATTCTGAGCTCAGTTTTCACCACAAGCATATTTTTTTTAATGATTGATCATTTGGGTAATGTGAACATGAGTTCTGAATGAGTTACCCTGTAGATAAGTTCTCTGACTCGAAGAAGGGAGATTATAAATCGGATGAATTGTTCACCTAACTAGAGAAGCCTAGTTGATGCAAAGGGCCATGTACAAAAAGCAGCCACAAGCCAGCTTCGTTTTTAACATGCAGAATCAGTGTAATTGGGTGGACCTTAACAAGGTGCCTGCCTTGGGCAAGTAGGTTGATTTTGGTTGAAGTTTTAGTTCATTCCATAGAAAACGAAAGTGTCAGAGTCACTGAAGCAGAATGCCCTCCTCCTGAAAATGGAGTGATTTACATTTAGCATCTGTTTTGAGCTGAGAGTGGGAATTGGCTTTGTAATTTCTTCTGTCATGCCACTGTCAGAAAATTAAGCTGTTTACGCTAGACTATAGAAGGTTAATGGCTGTTCTAGCAAAGGTCAAGTGGTCATTTTAAAGGGAGGCTGTGCTGAATAATCGAAAATGGCAGAAGGATAAGGCATAAAATCTTAACTGACTGCTCATCCTACCTTTTTTCCCTGTCATATAGATTTTTGCTCTGATCAGGAGAGCTTGGAAGACCTGCGTTAGTGTGAATTGCTATTCCAGAAAAACACTGTAAAGATACTAACTGATTTTATGAGCTCCATGGCAATAGGAACATTTTTAGAAGGAACAAAATTTAGCTTGGAGGTCTTTCTTAGTCCTGATAAACAGTGTCCTGGCTTTCCTCAGTGTGGGAGGCTGGTGGCAAGCAATGATGGTCAACTGTTTGGGGTCCCCTTCCAGATACACTGAAGAAGTTGTTACAGCTGCTGGTTGGTGCCAGCCCTCACCTTCTATCTGCCAAGGGGTCTCCGTCACTGATTAAAGGAAGAGCAATGTAACTGCTGTCCTTTGTGAGCAGCTAGTACTCTGTGCAGTAAAATACAGGCCAAGTTCATCCTTGATATAAGCTAGTTGAAATCCCTTTGAACCAGTGGAGTTGTGTCCCAGATGCCAGATGGGCATCCGGTCTGAGATCTTTTCCCCGAGCATTGCACGGTACTGAGCCTGTCCTTTACTTAATTCCTGGTGTTAAATTAAGGCTCCAGAGTTTCTGATGACTTGACTTTTTGTTGCAGCCATATGGACATCTATATAGGCACAGAAATAATAAAGTGTGGTTTCTTTGTGTTTAACTGCCAACATTTTCATTTCATTGGAACTTTATCACTTTCATTTCCAGACGCTACTATAAAGAAACCGATGGTCTGAAACTTGATGTTGGAGCATATATGAAAGCATTAGAGGTATTTTATAGCTTGCATTATGCTTACTCGCTCTGTGCACCTTGTTAAAAGAGTAACTGGTATAAATACGGGTCATCTTCTGTAATTACTCACCTTGGTGGAGGAAGTTTCCACAGATTGAAACTCATTTGCTGCATTCTAAAGACGGGTGGATTCATTTGTTTTCTGGCTTTGTTCATTTTTTAAATTTTATTTAAAATGTGAACTTCTACCATTGTGGTACCTTTATTGGAAGTGAGGCCCTTGAAAGAAGGAGTCAGAGAAGAAAAACATGGAATATTGTCAGCAAGATATCCAAGAAAAACTTAAGGTCCGTTTTGTGTTTGGTGGAGCATTGTTAACACAGCCCTTGCCCTTAACAGTTTAGAGCAAAAGGCCCTTATTCAGCAAGATACTTAAGTGCAATCCTGTTTTTAAGCCTGATTAAGTCTGTGCAGAACTGGAACCCAATAGATAAGCCAACCTAAGGGTGAGAGAAGGAGACAATCATTATTCTCCCTTTTATAGGCTTGCAGAGAGATTAAAAAAAAATACATAGTGAATGCAGAGAATAAAGCAAAGTAGGACAGTATACAAGCACAGAAGATAGTGGATATAATGTATGCTTGCAGCACATTCATTTGCATCTATGTGAGTTTTGGGGAGAGTTTTTGCCTCCCAAATAAGTTCAGGCTTCTAGTTGTCTAGGAACAAGTTAGAAACACCTTTTCTGGCATAGCACTGATGTTTAGTTGCAGGAAAATAAAAGTTTTCAAATCTGGCTGGTCACTTGAATCATTAAAAATATGCCAGGTGGTTGAAGAAACCCTCTACATCTTTTAAGGCCCTCCAGTACTTTTGATCATTTCATATGAAGAATATTTGCTATTTCTTTAAGAGTGATGCTCTTACAAAAATGAGTGATACTGGAACTGAGTCTGAAGACTGCTCTCATGATGGAGAATGTAAAAGGTTTGTAACTTGAGATGTTTCAGGAGGACTTTCTCTCCTGTTTGGATAACACTTCTGTTATCCAAATTCTCCGACACTCACCCTCACCCACTAATCCATTGTGGTATTTAAGGGCAAAAATCAATAATTACATACTTTTTGTACAATTGTCTGGAGTTACGGAGTTGAACAAATCCTTTTCTGATCAGCATTTTTTGTGTGTCTCTTCTGTTTTTCCAGTATGCTTGTGATGTTCAAGCTGAGGTAGTGGGAAAACCAGCAAAAATGTTTTTTGAGTCAGCCTTAGCAGAAATGGGAGTTCCACCACAACAGGTAAGCTTTCTGATGCCATGACTACTGGCTGTGCCATGTAGTTATGCCCACTGATGCATTTTTTTTTGGTTTGCTGTCTTTCATGGAAAGTTACAGAAGAGGTTGAAGGGAATGTGGCCAGGATGACATGGTAAACTTTGGGTGGACATGCAAATATTTTTTCCCAGACCCAGTGTGCAGAGAAATATTTATGTTCAGGATCTTCCTATGAATTATTTAAAAAAAAAAAAGGAAAAGAAAAATTGTTGAAAAAATGTTTGAGAGGGAAAAAACCCCATGTTTGCCCATTCTATCACATAATGTGAAGTAGACAAAAGAGGACTGACAGCCAAGAGGGTAAATGCTAGCAAGTGGGCACCTGTTGAATTTCTTCTGCCCTGTGCGTACTTGTTACCCTCCTGAAAGGCATGACATTATTTTCTCTGCTTTTTTGAGGGTTCTTTTTGACTGCCTGCTATTTCCCTTTTCCTTCCTGTCTGTCTCTCTTTGCTCTGACTTGTGCCATCCATACCTCTACCCAATTTATAGTCTTCCATCCATCCCTCCATTCTCTACTGCAGTTTCTCCTTCTACTTGTACTGTTGTGTTGTGCTTTCTTATTCACCTTCCTCCCAAACCATATAGTTCAGAACAACATGCACTTCTGTTGTGAAATTCCTGTATTTGGAGGCTAAAGAAAACAATACAAAAGAATAAAAGTTAGTTTTCCCAAGGAATTATGGAAGATGTTGTGCCTCACAAGATGAGAGGTGCCCCAATACCTGGCAGTCCGCTTGGTGACTGGAGGCTGCAGCATGGTGGAATTGCAGCCAAAATGTTTTTTATTTCCTTTGGTGCCACACTGACTACCATTTTTTAGGAAAAGAGAATGGCAGAAGTAAAATATTTTCTAATTTAGGTGAATGGGAAGCACTGACTGACCCAAAAACTCCTCCCATGTTATTGGATTCATCACGCTTTCCAGAAACACACTGAATGTGTGATGCTCCCTGCTTACTTAGTACAGTCCATTTTTTCCCCTCTCTGTAGTTGTGCCCAGATCCTTTTTATTGATTTGATGTTATGTCACACAGGACATAAGGATGAGTATGAGATGACTCACAGACAGCAGTGAATTACAACGTAATAATTCCATCAGGGGGTTTTGGTGACATTATAAACAACAGGAGTGAAGTTTGGGTGGCTTGTAGGTCCCTAGAGCCTGGAGATGAAATTATGGCCCTGTAATTCAGTATGTGCTTGGGTTTTACTTTATTAAGAGTGGGGAGATGGAAAAGACCTAGTAGGCCATCTAATCCATCTCCTTCCCCGTGCAGGAGTGTCCCCTGCTTCACGTTTATTAATGTTTTGTCCAGAGTAGTTTTCGGTGAGCCAAACAACTGGGCTTCTGTAAGTACCCTAGGGACAGTGTTCACAGCCAAGTAGGCCTCTGGGCAGGCAGCTTTTTCTGAGATTCATCGGGATGCTTCCCTTTTAAACTGCATCTCCTTATTTCTAGTTTTACTCCAGGTAATAACCCAAATAACTGCTCGCCTTCCTGGATATTTTCTCCCTCCAATTACCTCCAGATGTGTTATCATTACAGTAGTTGTCTCTTACTAAAACTGTGTATTTAGCTCTCAGCTGCTTCCCTTGTGATTCGGTCCCTCTGTACCCTAACCTGCTGTGGTGCTCTTTTCTGTACTCCCTTCAGTTTGTCGATATCTTCCCAGTAACAAGATAGCTCAGGCTGAACATAATATCCCAGGTACAGCCATGGCAATTATTCAATCTATTCATCCAACCAACAAACCCAAAAATCCATTTGAGACACAGAATGGCCTTTGAAGAAAAAGTAGCTGGAAAAAAGAACAAAGGAAAACAAAACACCACAGAGCTCAGCCCTTGGATACTGTTTGTCTAAATCAGATGCATGAAGGTTTGTGTTTCCTTTTCGCTTCTATCAGAAACGATCAGTGTGCAGGAGTAGAAGGGAAGAGAGGTTTTTTGGTTTTTTTTATCCTTGTGGCCCTGTGTAGTGGCATTGCTTGCCCTTTTCTGTAGGCAAGATGGTGCAGCTGTCCTCAGATGCTGTTTTGCCCAGCTCGTGGTGTGCTGAGACTGTGTCAGCCCCTGGCACCAAGGGAGGGTATCATTACAGGGATGTGACAAGACACCAGAACTCCTGTCTCAAAAACTTTGCTCCAGGGAACAAAATTCGATATAATGCATTACCAAGCTGGAAAAAATGGTCCCATAGCGTGAGCCTCGGCGAGTGGTTCCCATCGACTTCAGGAGGATTTGTTTTGGGTACTGAAAAGCAGTAACAGCCCCCAGCAGAGACTACTATTTATTCACCTTCTGCTATTTGCCAGATACTCATAGTGCTACTAGTGACTAACTTTATATTTTGACACAGATCTTTTTCTGTATAGTTTCTAGCGTTAAATGTCATCAATTTGTTGTAGTCATATGTCTAGTCTATAGGTGTAATTTTTTGTATTCAGAGAGATTCAAGATGAAGGGAGTGTATGCCTAACATAGGAGGAGCGCAGTAGACACCACTGCGTAACGGCAGCAGTCACTCCGTGCTTTCGACTATGGAAAAAATAGTCCATGCTGCTGGAGTTAAACTGGGTCATGATGCACGTGCGTAGGAGGAACAAATTACAGCAGAGCAAACTACCTTAATTCTGAAATATTTTCCTAACTTTTGAGTGCTTGACCTTGCAACTTTAATGTTCTTTTAGAAGGATTTGTAGGTTGTTTTAGTTTGTCATACATAATAATAAAAACTCAGTATATGCAGTTCAATGATTTCTTAGTAATGCACTGTATTACGTTTTATTCTGTCTCCTGAATGAGCTATACTTCTCTGCATTCGTAATGACATGACAAGGACTGGTTTTACTTGCCTTTACTTTTATGCAATGTTTGCCAATAATTTATTCCACCTGTGGAATGCATTTAATCCATACCATCATTAAACCATTTTAGATGAGCTGTGCTTTTGAAAAAATATTACAATTTTCTTTCACCTGACTTTTATGAAAAATACCTTTTTAATAAAGCTGTCTCACCACAGTAATTCTAGACAGTGGCAAATCTTAAATTTCTCAAGCTGCTTTAATCAATAAAGTTATCACCGGTCGTTTCCCTTGATAACTGCTTCTTACCGAGACCCTGACTTTGCCTTCTGCTGCTGAGATGTTTTCAACCTGCACTTAGAATACGAGGAACTCCCCGAAGTCCAATTTTCATTTTAACCTTTCCTCAATGGCTAGAAATAACAGATTGCCGGTATTACTTTAATAGATTGGAAATTTAAACCTCTTAGAACCAGACTTATGATTCAGTAATATGACAAAGAATAACACATCTTAAAGGTAGGTGAAATGCCTAATTCATATGTTTTAAGGCAGCTGTAACAGTGGATGATTTTTACAGCTTTACAATAAAACCTAAATAATGTTAAGGTTCTGGTAGTTTTATATAATCATAAAAAGTTCTCTCTGTAGCAAATTGTTCTGCTTTAATGGGAGTTATGGCAGGTCATACTGGAGTGCATAAACTACTGGTAGTTAAGCAATTCCCATTTCTGCCACCTGCAAGTCTCAGGTGGGAGTTAGTGGCATGTGAGAGCAGGGGGAGGTCACCCCGAGAGTGGCACGGAGGACCTGCTGCTGTGCCGGCATCCCCTCCTTGCTTACTGGCCACAACAGGGAAAGATCAGATTGCCGGTATTACTTTAATAGATTGGAAATTTAAACCTCTTAGAGGTAACCAGACTTATGATTCAGTAATATGACAAAGAATAACACATCTTAAAGGTTACTGAAATGCCTAATTCATATGTTTTAAGGCAGCTGTAACAGTGGATGATTTTTACAGCTTTACAATAAAACCTAAATAATGTTAAGGTTCTGGTAGTTTTATATAATCATAAAAAGTTCTCTCTGTAGCAAATTGTTCTGCTTTAATGGGAGTTATGGCAGGTCATACTGGAGTGCATAAACTACTGGTAGTTAAGCAATTCCCATTTCTGCCACCTGCAAGTCTCAGGTGGGAGTTAGTGGCATGTGAGAGCAGGGGGAGGTCACCCCGAGAGTGGCACGGAGGACCTGCTGCTGTGCCGGCATCCCCTCCTTGCTTACTGGCCACAACAGGGAAAGATTTTCCATCTTGGAAAGGAGAGTCAAGTGGCCGAGTGAAGTTTAAAGCTTCGAGTCCTGCTGAAAGCTTATTGAAACCTGGCTGGCCCTGCAGCCTTTGGAAATCTGCCCTGGAGGTTTAATGTATTTCTTTGTTTCACCTCCTTGTTGTACGTTTTCTCCCAAGTCAGAGGCCACATGCGATGCCCTTTGCCTGTTTGACGTTTGCACAGCTAGTAGTTCCAAGATAGAAACATAATTAACAGCAATATGGGATCCTGAAGCCTAGGAGATTACCAGTTGGGCCAAGGAGAATAGGGAGAAAAGTAAGTGCATCGTATTTCTTGTGTAAAGGGATTTAATACATTAATCAAGATTTTGTGTATAAGCCTTATTTCCTTATGTCCCTGGCACATTTAGCTTGATTAAGGTTGTTAAACCTATAGCAAAGATCTGCTTAGGCATAAATAAGTTTGACTCTAGAAATGTTCACTGGGTTAAATATTCTGCTGAAGTTTGCACACTTCCTTCTGTGCATCTCTTCATTTGCATCCTCCATAGACTTCAGCCTCCTGAGCTTGTCCTAGTAAACACTGCATTGCAACACGAGCATGGCTGGGTAGTACAGAAATTGCTGTCTTTCTGCCTCGTTCATTTTCTTACTTCATAATTCCTTTTCTGATTAAACATTTTTCTGTGATTTTAGTGAATACTAAAACTCTGTTTGCAGACAAAAAATACCTAACGTTCCCATTCACCACCCTACCAGCGTCTCTGAAGGCTTATTAGTGTTGGCTACTTCTGTGGGTAAGAGGAGTCAGTCACCACCTCCATTCAGCTCTGGGTCCGTGGCCCAGACACCACCAGTAAGATTGCTGACTGTGATGGTGATCTCTGTGCCACAGACGTTTGCCCAATGGGGATTATATTATGCCTTCCCACCCCCAAATTCTTGGAGGTCATGTTCATCTCCATTATCACTGCCGATCTGCGTTGAGTTTGATGGGGACTCTTCAAAAGCAGTGGCTTCATTCAGCTTTGGCCCATGTGTGCTTTATTTACTGCGTGTGTACAACCACACGCACCATCTCTCACCAGCTATATGGTTTAGGAAAATATGAATTGCGCCCATCTTAATTCTTTGATGATTTGTCTTAAAACCAGAGAGACTGTCTCAATGCATTTTGTCCTTCTTTTCAGTAAATTTTTAACCAATCTGAAAAAAGTAACTTCCGCAGAATAATTGAACAGATTAATGGTGTAATCCCTGTGTAAAATGTGAACACGAAAGGGGATCTTTTAATTCTTGCTTTCAGTGGGTATGTGACCTTTCAGTTTTATATCTTTCTCTCTCTTCTTACCATATTGCAGTCAGAGAGGAAGTTAAACCCAGGTTTGACAGGTAGAGTTTTTTTATTTCCCTTGACAGTGCACCTTTTGACCTCTATCTTCTTGCCAATGATTTTTTAAATCCTAAATGATTTGGGAATAATTGCTCCTCCTTTAGTGATTATTGCCCTTCACTGATAGTAAATCTGTGAAATCCCCGGGGACTGGAGTACATTTTTGTATGCGTATGCCACAAGCTGGCCTGGACAGGCATCGCTGCTCATCTGCAGCTGCACTTGCAGAGCTGCCGGGCGCCTTGCAGGAAAATTTGCCTGGATGGGGTAAAATACATCCCCGGCAAGCGAGTGCTTGGTGGGCTGCCCTGCTCTGCCCTTTCCCATTTTCAGAGGAAATTCATTTATAGGGTTTTGAGAACCCAGGACTGAAATTGTCTTTACTTCAGAAATCTCATCCTGAACTTCTGGGTTCAGGCTGAGCAGGGGCGTGTGGGTGGCGGAGGGCAGGTCCACTCCTGGGTTCCCCCCTGCGGACTCTCTGGGGTCCCCCCTGCAGCCGTTCCCTGTCCCCCTCGGGGAAGCGTTGGAAGGAATTTTATAAGAGGAAGGGATTATAAACCATTAAAGCCAGTGGTTGAGAATGATTAAATACCTCAAAGCAGCTTGGGGGGGAAATTGGTAATGGTGGTTGGCTGGGAGCAGTGTTGCCAGGTTCTTTGCAGCTCTGCATGTAACAGTGGGATTATTCTGCTTTCCTCATCTGTGTATATGTGCTTTATTTACTAATTACTTAAAATTAACCCATCATTTTCTCCCCATTTCAGACTGGATTGCTTGTTTGGAGGAGTGGTAAGGAAAGGTGAACTATCTGCAGGGGAAGGCTTCTTACTAGGAACATACACGTTTCCATGAGCAGAGTGGATAAGGAAAATGGTCCAATAATGAAAGGATGAAAAAGACTGAGCCCTCCATCATCTGGTGGCTTTGAAGCGGTTTGTGAGCAGGGAGCTGGAAAGGCAGAGCTACCTGTACCAAAGCCTGCTGCTGCTCCTTCTCTATAGGCATGTTTTCCCCAGCTCTGACCCCTTTGCCACAAGTCCTTATGTCTCTCTGCTCCTTAAGGAGCTCTCAAAGCCTGACCACAGCGGTGACTCTTCCAGGCAGAATGAAGCAAGGGTGGGCATATATAAACTGTTTCAAAATAAACTACTTCAACATGGAACCAGACAAATGAGCCTTGACTTGAGGGGGCATCCTATTACGTCCTATCACCTGAGGGATGATGATCATCCCTCATGCGAACAGTATTTTAAAACGACATGGAAGATAGACTGGGCTGGTAACTACTATATATAATCTTACACACGGTACCTGATGTGTTACTCAAAAGAGGATTTGGTTTTTGTCAGCTGAAGCTGTGCCAGATATACGTGTTCATAGCTCAGTTTGGTTCATGAGTGCTCTCAGAAAATCTTCTGTTCAGCTGGGACTTTAGGTATATCCTGAGATTTCCTTTACATGCTATGTAATAAGTGGGAGGAGATTCTGTTGTAATTAGATTATTAATAAAAATAGCTCTGGAGCTTTAGTATTTTCAGACTTCTTCAATATGTATGATTTAGTCCTGCCCAGCAGACTGCTTACAGAGTGGGAACTGAAGTGTGGGTGACACAGAAGATGAACTGGCTCTTGTATGGTTGCATGCTATGTAAAAAAGAGGTGCTTCCATGTGAAGGCAAAGGAAGAAGAGGATTTGGTATTAGGCAGAACTGGTGACTGGAATGGCGCCCGCAACACAGACTTTCTATATGTTTTTGTCCTTAAAGCTGCAGCCAGCTGTATGAAAAGACTCAGCATTCCCTTTAGATTGCTGCTTCTGGAGAAGCTGATCCCTGCTTCTGCCGTGTGCGCCTTGTTCCCATGACCTCTCTGACAAGGGCCTATTTATCGGTTCTCTGCAGATGGAAAAATGCTGGGTTGGCTTTCTGTGCGTGCCCAGCGGAGTCCCCCTTGCTGCTGCTCTCAGTAACCCAGCCGCCATCTAAGGCAACCCTGGTCCCCTTTGTAAACGTGCCTTTTAACTTCCCAAGTCCCATACGTGGGACAAGGACCTGTCATGACAGACCCTAGAAAAAGCTCAAACCACACAAAATACAAGGGCAATTTCTTTAGTAAGGAAAGAAACACTTTGCATAGGGACTCTGTGTATCTGATGTGCAGGTATGAAAATAATCAAGGAAGGAACGGGAATTCAGGCAGGAATTTCTAGAGTTGCAAGGTGCCATTGTTGTGAAAGCCTGGCAGTTACGTTTATGAAGCAGGAGGCTAAGTCAACAAGATAAAGATCAAGTGGCTAAAGATGCAACTAATTAATGTATTTTAGATAAAATTCAACTTTGATACAGAAGGTGCAAAAACACACTTTAAAATTGGATAGATAAACTAGATTATGTATTTTCAAAGCTGGTGTGTTTCTGCAGTTTTAGGTGCTGCCTCCGTTCTCTTCAGAGTAATCCAGAATGCCCTTGGAAGGTTGAAAGCTGATTTTTTGCTTATTAATTGAAGATTACTGTTTTGTGTATATGCTGTTTTTTGTTGAAACTATAAAATGAGCCCCCCAACCATTTCTAAATTTCAAGAATAAAATAAATATAATAATTTTTAATGCAGGATGATAATAAGCAGTTAAAATTTTGAAGATGCAGTTGTTAATGAGAAAGACCCCTTGGTTGATACACTTCAATTTAACAAAGATCTTTAACAAAGATAGGAACTCTGAAGTGAGCATGCATGCTACATGTTTTCATCAGACACTCAGACAAATCTTAGCACAGCCAGAAGGTCTTTTCTCAGTTACATTTTTTTGGTAATCTACTCAGTTGAGTTCATTAGTATTTGCATAGACTTAAGCTGACTGTAATGCAAACCATGCTAGGCCTGTATATATCATAGCACATTGTGCAAAAATAAATACATTGGATTTTACAGCGATTTTCCAAATTTCTCTATCAACCTGAGCATGGGCTGGGATCAAGCTCTGCAAAGTTACACATCTCGGTGATCACAAGCTTAAGCTTTTGACTGGCTTTTAGAATACCAATTTTAAGGAAATGTTTAAAAAGTTAAGCTTAATTTAAACTGCTTGGAGCATAACATAAATGCATCGTTAGGAACAGAATAGGACTAACTTCATAAAATTCAACATTTTCTTTGAACTGTGCTAAATCACTTTGATTTTTGTGATTGATTGCAAATTGTACAGATGTGTACTGCACTAGTACATTGCTCGAAGAGCAGTGGCATGAATTATATTCAAGGTAGGATGACTTTTAATCAATACGATGACAACATTATCTTGTTTAATTTGTCTGATGGCAGTATTAAACATCAAATCAAGCTGTTTGTTATGTCAAAGGAGTATGACGTATGGCAGAAATAAAATTCACTTGACGCCAGTTTTTCTGTATTTCATTGCTTTGACAGGCCATCATGATTGGAGATGATATTGTGAATGATGTAGGAGGTGCCCAGCGGTGCGGTATGAGAGCTCTGCAAGTGCGGACAGGGAAGTACAGGTCAGTGCACACCCTACACCCTGCACTCCATGGGGGCAATCATGGAAAAAGGGGAAATGTAAGTAATGATTTTTGTCTTTACCTTTCTGCCAAATGACACTATGCTCTAATTTCCTTACAACACATTAATTTCTGAAGAAAAGGAGTTGCGGTTTGGAACCTGGTACACATTCAAAGCGAATGTGTAAGAGCAGATTTTTTCCATGCCTTTTCCAGATCTTTTCCCGTTGGTGGCACAAATTTGCCATCAAGGTACACTTCCACTTGTTTGAACAAACACCTCCTTGTGCAGCAGTTAGGCTTGGGTAGATAATGACATTTTCATTTGCAAAATGCATTTTGGGAAAACACTGTGTGTGTGAAAGTGGCAGGAAGGGGAAGACATGCTGTCTTTGATCTTTTAAAGAAATATTTTCTGTTAAATTACTGCTATAATTTTTTCATCACAGTGCATAGAACTGGTGTGTTTCGTGGGTATTTTTTTTTTGCTGCTGCATGAAAGTGTTGTACACTTGATATAAGATGTGTCTGAAACTTCTAGTAGGGTTAAGATTATAAAATTAGACTGTCGACTCAGTGATCTCTGTGGGTCATATCTCACAGCTTTATAAAGAACTCCATATGTCTACTATTTCTTCCAGACATGTATTCAGCACTGAGATGTCTGGAATGCAAGAGCTGTTTCTCCACTTCCCGTCTTACCAGAGTGCAGGCTTCTGCAGGCTCGCTCACCTCTTTCAAATGACCCTTCAAGCCCTCCTCCATGCAGGTGTCTCCATGATCCTGTGCTTTCATTGACCTCCCTGCAGCTGCTGATAGGAGACCTGAGTGCAGTTACAAACATGGCATGGTCCAGGATTGACTGGTGGAAAATTAAGCCATCATCTGATGCTCAGGCCAGGTTAGGTTTGAGGTCAGCTCAAGGTGACTTTCCAAATGTAGTGCAGACATCGGTCCCTACATTTAACGTTTGGGTTCCATAACACTCAAAATCTCCTCTTAACCGTCTCCTCTTGACCATAACCATACCTCTTTGTAGTAGGTATGGTTCAGCAACAGCATCTGTCATTTGACATAATTTATATTTTTACAGTTTTTCTTGATTTTCAAATACTGAGACTGTAAAAGAAGGATGGTCTTTTTGGGAGGGATACAAGTGAGAATGGTGCTTGCCATAGGCTGTCTGAAAAGTTATTTTGTTAGTTTTCAAGTCAATCTGTTTCTCAACTTTCCTTTTAGTTTGTGTAAGGTGATTAAATAATACCCAGTGCCTTAATTCTAATGGACCAGTAAGTGATGATTTCTGAGGAAAAAAAGACAGGTACAAGTGTATTGTAGTGAGGTATTTTTGCATCTTTAAGATAGTACATCTCAAAATGAGTTATCTATCTGAATAAAGCTCAAAAAATCCCAAAGATTAAAAAAGCAAGTATATAGTTTGTGCTGTTGGGATTATTTGTCTGTAATCTGTGTAATCCCATTAATTTCCTAAAGGAGAAAATAAGGATTCAACGGTTGATTTTACACTGATATTAACGGGATCGCTTTGTGAATCCACATCTTAATGTCACACAGATACGGGTGTCAGTGAAGGATGTACCTCTGCACACAGAGGTAAATTAGACCTTTGCTACTAAACAAATATCTCCTGTGAGATACTTTGCCCATCATAAGATATGCCACAGGTGATGCTGCATCCAAACAGTTCAGGCAACTGACATAAACTGTATATACACACACACATATAAATATGTATAATCATATGCTGGAAAAACATTTTCTTGTATCAAGTTTGAGTCATGATTTCACAGCTGAAAGAGAGTCATCAGCTGTTTGAGATCAGGAAAAAAAGTTGTTTTCCACTGTTAGGTTTCCTGTTTCAATGCGGGGTTGCTGTTATCTGAAATCATGTACTATTGTATGGCAATGAAACACAGGTGAGTGTCTCTCTAAATTGAGCATGTGGTCCTGTTTTGGGCAATTGTAAGTAACATGAAATAGCTCTTGTTTGCCAAGAGAGGCCAGAGATGTAGATATTTTTAAGAATGACTGATTTAGTATATGTGAAAAATGAAACCACACAGTGAGTAGTGGAGAGACGGAAAAAAACAAGGGAATGAAAGCTGATGGGCAAAAGAAATGAAAAATAACAGAAAATGTAATTATTTCACAGCTGGTTTAAAGTCTGATATATATAAGATTATGCATAGGTCCTCTCTTTCACTTATACGGTAGTTCTTGTTTGACACAGAGCTGCGTGCTACACCCAAGTACCTCTGGATGGCACCGTTAGTACATTTACTTCAGTATTAGCCACAGCTTCGGGACCTCCCCAGAAAGCTAAGACTGTTTTTGCAAAAGAAGTGCAAAGCACAAAGGCGTCAGGGTTTTGAGTGTTGGTGTGGTGGGATTTCCACAGATTTGTTAGGAGAGTCATGCAGCTTGGGACATGGGTTATCACCCCAGTTGAGTTGGCTCTGTGTTTCTACAGCCATGAGTAGTTTTTTCCATTTCCACCACAACAACGGTGCCTCACTTCAGCAAAATGGATGCAGAGCTTATTTGAGAATAAAATTAAAAATAACAGAGGAACTATCTCGAGGAATTGTTGCAGGTGCATTTCACAGCATACTGCTGGATACGTGGAAATGACATTATTTGCACAAGTTATCCCAGTGAAGGCATTTTGCATGTTGTTCCGCAGGTCCAAGGGATACTGTTGTACCCCTCCAGTCTCACCTAAATGCTGTCCCTGACTGGCAGAGATTGTCACCTCTGGTGCATTGAATGTGCCTCGAGGCAGCTCTCCTTATTTCAGGGGTCAATGCAGTTTACAAGAACATCTTTGAGGTCTGCTGCCCACCAAGTGCTACCAAGGGTAACGCACCGTAGCACAAAAGATGACATATGAGCCAAGGTTTACTGTACTGTTTATTGTATTTCAAAGGGACTTCAGCGATTGCATGCAGATCGCAGGCTGCATAGCAACTCAGTGCATCTTACTTGCTTTAATAAGCCAGAAGAAAAAGTCCCCTTTGGCCCTGAAAGCCTTTTATGGAAAGAGTCTGTTGATCTGCTGATGCAGAGGTTTCAGCGGTAGATAGGGGTGGACAGGTCTTCCGTGGGGTGGGCAGCCTCCAGCCGGGTACAGGAAGCTGACTTCAGCCTGCAGTGTCACAGGAGCCTTTCTCCGTGGTGGTGTTTGTGCCTTGTTGCTCAGTGATGGTGGTGGCGGGTGCCAGCTCCCCGCTGAACTGAGGAACTGGTTTTGTGAATGCGGGGTGGGGGGTGGTTGGCTTGGCAGGCGAGTCGAGGTCCAGGGGAGAAGCAGAAGGGGTGTGCATGGAGAGGCGGGGGGGGGCGGGGGCGGGGTCCCTCCCCCGGGGTTTACCCTCCCGCCCT